TTTTCGTTCACGTGACATTATTTGGTAGCAACAGTGTATAATTCAATATGGCGGGACAACATCACAATGCAATTTCATTTCATTAATTTTATGTTTGCTTCACAATAGGTTACCGGATTACGGAATAGAAACAGAGATGTATGTAAGAAAATCGTCTTCGTCCAAAAGCTACTGCGAAAAGTTTCATTTCCAGATAGACACCATATAATATTTGTTCCGACTAAAAAGACACAGCGAGTGTAGACAACAGTTATTCTCTTCACAAAAGCGTTGTTTATTGATACTAATATGATAGCTTCTATTTTCACTCAGGCTTCATTTTCTTGGTAGTAACCACTAGCCTGTTCCAGGCTCTCAGTCAGTTAGAACGATCGAAAAAGCAGGCGGGCGACGAGCGGGATCAGCGACGAGTGGGATTCGGTGACAACCAGACCCCGCTTGTTGCCCGCCTGCTTTTTCGATCGTCCCCACTGAAACCACTGCGTTTACGATTCTCAGATGCCTTGAATATTAGCTTTTGAAAACATTTTTTCGTCTTAAGGCAACAATAGTTACTTTAAAAATTCCCCATGCTTTCAACTATCCTGAACTCGGAGTGATGTCTTTCGAATAAACGAAAATTTCATTCAGCAACTGTCCCCCATGTTTACTTGCCAAGATGGCAAAGGTGGCGAGCTTAGTAACCAAGCTTCAGAAAAGTTATATTCACCGCCTAGCGTAGTGAATATAGTGTCCAATTCTTTTATTCACCTCTGGAAATAATACTGCATAAAACTGAGAGCAGGGTGACCACCGTATATTTCAGGTTTCATTTACATGATTAGAGGGGTTTAATTTTACCATCGAAAAGTAACTGGTTTTACACGATTGGCTTAAAAAAACTGGCACAACTTTTTCATCCAATCAAAAGTAAATCTAAAACCAATCATGATTCACTGGCACAGGTTTCCCGCGCTTTGCGTCAGCTACATGTTATTCCTTCTAGTTTTGATTGGTTCACTGTATTGCCTGTGTCCTTAGTGATTGGCTAGAGAGATTATTTTGGTTTTTGGTTTTACGACACGCAATTGAAAACCGCTCTAACGCGTGGCCAAAGTTTAAGAAATTTTTAGACCCTCCTTCTTTTCGATGGAATCATCTTGTGTGAAAAACACATCGAATTTGGCAGGCTGAGAGGCGCAGTCTGAGTTTGGTTTGGGCGCTTTTCTTAAGCCAAGCATGTATCCGGTTCTTCAGAGTGTTACAGTTGAACTAGAACTTGAAAGGGCATCATGAGCGCACAGATTATGAGAAGTACTTTGATTGTTATCTTTTTTTCTTCCCGTCGTTAATGAGGCATCTCAGAAACAATAACTCATGGGTTTTTCTTTTCAGTAGAAGGGAATCTATCAAAGCATAGAAAGTAATTCTTCATTAATTCATCTCAAACTAGTCTCAAGAAAACAGAGCTTAAATTTAAGCATCTCGCACAAGAATATTTGTGAAAATAATGACGCATAGATCATATACATGAAGTTATTTCACAGCGAGTCAGTATCAATACCTTATCAACAGAACTAACTCGCCGCGTGTTAGATAATTTCATTACGTTTTAAAAACCCAAGCGCTTTAATTATGAACATACGTTTGCGCCAGAATGATACATTATGCCGGCAAATTTTAAGAGGGCACAACTTCGAGCTTCGATTATTAGGATATGAAAGACGATGACACGAGCAAATTTTGTAGTACCTTGCTTTGAAGAAACATTCGTGATTTTAAATCGTAAATACTGATTACTTTTAGTTTGACTTATCTCACTGAAGAAGTATTTGTGAATTTAAGTTCTTATTGGTAGATCAGTAAAGGTACTGATTAAAACCAGCTGAACTTAGGTTAGAATAAACTACTACGAAGTCGAAAAATATCCCATTAGAAGCCACGAAGCCGACATTTGAAGTGTAGACTTGAAGCAAAACTGTCTGTTTGAAATATTCATAACCTTAATCTTAAGCTACAGTGTTTTACCCTTTTCCAATATTTAGATTATGAAGTGAAAAGATGTTAGCCGCTTTGGATAAAAGGAAACCGCGAAAACAATAACACGCACCTTTTATGCGCATGCGTTGAAGAGTTTCATCAAACAGTACAATTAACCGTAAATATAACATCGATTTAAATTTGGTTTTCTTTTAGTCAGAAAGTATTTTGACGTCGAATTCTCAACATAGCGTGCAACGCTTTATTGTTAAACTACTATGATAAACCGATCGACATAACAGACAAACTACTAATAAATTAAGATGCTGATATTCCTGTTAAAGCTGGGATGCCGACCATCTTGACGGCAGGTTATATTCTAGAGATAAGTGGTAGAGTTATAACTCTAATCCTTGTAAATCAAGGGGAATCGTTTGCGTTTACTCATGTACACAGCGTTAAAATTCTCGATTCTCTTTGGCGCTTGACGTTTTCAATCATCACCAGCCTTATTCAACAAACTGTAAGCTACTGGGGAGACAATTATCTTATTTGAACTTCTTGTCGTGTCCTAAATTAGAAAGCTCGTTAGCAAATTGCAAACTAAACGCAACAAAGACTTTCTGAAATATTCTTCGAATGATGCATTTACAGGTATTAATTACATTAGCATTGTTGAATAGATTTGGGTTCTTTGTCTCGCTGGTGATATCAACAAAAACAGAAGTAATCTTTCAACAGTAATTCGTATGTAAATAGCCGACAGGTGAATCGTTCCTAGTAAAATACGTAGAATAAATTTAAGATTTTCGTGCTTTTATGTTATATGGAGTTTGTCTTCTCGGCTTATTTTTGTCCGAGCAGGCGAACTACAAGTGAGTTTTGTCAGTCAGTCACTCTTTTAGTTTGGGAAGAACAGCTTGAGTGTCGACGGTCAATTTGGTTCAATGGCCGGGACGTGATTGTGACTATTGGTCGTTGGAAAACATTTGTATTTCAACTTTCAAAGGTAAGTTGTTATCTTGCTAATATATTAAGCGTTTGGTTTCATCTGTTGGCGGTTTACTAAAATTGAACTCAAATGATTATAGAGATACGGCAGAGAGTCTATGATTTCCGCTTGTTACAATGAGTAATGTCATGATTATGAAGAAAAAACTTTGAGCGAGGAATCATTATTCATTTCGCAAACTGAGCTTGATGAGTTTGCGGCTGTTTTGTTTTTCTCCTTACGGATTACTAAGGTATGTCTAGCTCTTTTTATTATTTTGAACTTCCAGGGGAGAGTAAATTTACACCACAGTATATAGAATACGCATAAATTATGAAACATTTCCGGAAGAATTAAAAACTTACAAGCCTTTAATTAAGACCATACTATTGCTTGAAAGGATAATTTAAATTATTAAAACAAGGAAAGGAAACATCTTGCGGTCTTCAGAATTGTGTCGTTATAGTGTCTTTATTTTCAAACTAAAAAGCAAAATTTGCATGTTCTAATGTGAAGATAATGTCAAAATATACATGATTCTGAAGCAATATTCGACTTCCGTCGCAAGATTTTCATATTAAAGAGTGTTAACTTGTTAATGTCTTCTTGTGTTTCGACGATTTATCACAATATCTAAAATTAAGAACCAGAAATTGAAAGAAGACCTTGTCAATTTAAACTGAACGAGCGTTTGATTGAGTGGTAAACCAACATGAAACAGAACATGGCGGTTTTGGCCTGCGCAAACTGATTTGAATATATAACTGAGCCCTTTGTTAAAACTTTAAGAACTTTTCTCCTTGCATGGTAATGAATTCGCGTTTTGCAGTTTTTCGAAGCACTTGTTTGAAGCAACAAGCTTATTCCAACCGAGGGTCTAACGAAAAAAAATAGGTTTTAGTGAAAGTTGTTCAATGTATCCTAGGAGCGACAGTCCACTTACATTCATTTGCTGGCCTGCAATAAACCTCCTGAATTAAACGTAACTGCAAATCCAATTCAGATACCCTCGATAGAGATCTTGATCAGGCATAAATGGTGCAGCGAGAAACTAATATTTGACTGAGAAAACCGACATCTCATTAGGTGTAATTTATAAGAAATCACGGTCTTATTCTTAATAAATGACCTTTTTTTTGATCAGAAAGAATTTCTAGAAATGTCTCCAAATTCATAAACTGATCCAAAATGGCAAGCGAATTTGTTTCGGGAGGTAATTCGCATGCATGTTGGTAATCTTTCGGCAAAAATTGTTATCGGAAACTATTCACACAATCAAAGCCATGTGTTTCGTCAGTTTGTCAGCAGGTGACTGAGATGAAAGAAATTTCCATCTTTTGCGGCGAAGGAAGTTTACTTCAGTTTGGATTGAAATGTTGAGTTAAAATTTGATTTGTTACTGTCCTAGATGTTTCTTACTTTGAAAATAAATTTTTGAGTCAAGTTGAATTGCGGGATTGTAAAATAGAAAATCACCAGGTAGGACAGCCCAGTTGTGTATCGAGTAGTTTTTAGAGATAACACCCGGGAAATAACGTATACTTTTCCAAAACTAAATGCCAGATTTTCGGTTGTATTAAGCATCAACGAATGTCACAAAAGCTGCTTTTTAAGGAGAATATTAGCATTTTTATGTTAAAAACCATTAATACAAAGCAGGCACGTGAACTGAGGTGTGGGAAAAAAAGTGTAAATTGTCGGCCGCAGCAACCAGTCCCAGCACTTAACAATGAACTGATATGTACACACATCAACACTGCGACATCTAGCTAGCGCCTTCTATGAATGCACAAACTCCTATTCCGACGAATTAGTGCTTAATTAATATAGAAATAGAAATAATCAACTCCACCGAAAAGCCGGCGTTTTAATTTATTTTCACATTTTCCTTCTCTACTGGGTGGAAGAAAATCTACGGTGTCGTAGGTATGTTCCAGACCAACGTAGTTTTTAATAAGGAGCTCTAAACTATGTTTTTGTCGTACTTTTCTCAAGGATTTTGCGATATGATTCAAAAATAATTTGCATGTAGGGATAGAGATGTATGTTTACAAGCTTGTAACGAAAGGAATACAACAAAAACATGATTATGGGAATTGAACAAGAAATACACCCAAAACTATTTACATAAAATTAATTTTAAGGTCAAGCACCGAAAACATTTTTATGTTCATATTTCTACTTTTCCGTTTATTTCCTCTTAGTATAAAAACAAACGATCAAAATTAAGATTGCGCGGGCGATATAACACAGTGGCTATGGACAGCAATTAACATATGCGGTCAAAAAGGGTCTTTCAAAGCCTACTGAAGCTTGATTTCCTGTGGTAAAGTGAAGCTCTTCAATCAAACAATCAGACTTAGACTCACCACAGATGCCGATGAAAGAGTGATGTTAATGAGTTACGCAAAGTTTGAACTCAAATAATCTGAGGCGAAGGCACAAATACGCCCATTCTGAGCCCGGAATAAGTGTTTTTCATCTAAAGTAAAATTTAACAGCACAATGTACTAACCCAAGGAAAGACTGAACAAAAGCATTAAGTAGGTCAAGAGAATGCGAAACAAAATGTTTAATACGTAATAGTTCTACTTAAAACGCAATTTCTTTTGGGATCAAAATACAATGAATACAATTCTTCTTTAAGTGATTGTTAGTGTGTTAATGAAACTGATAAACTAGTCACGAATTTATGGCAGAAATACGAGCATAGAAATAAAACTTTGACTCACAGTATATGTAAAAATGTACAATATTGTTTACCCTCAACTGAAAGCGAAATTAGTTAATAAGAGTACAAAACGAGCTCTCCAACGCTACTTCAGCGTATTTGTATTTCAATGTAAAGCTTCCGCTGACGAATACATTGCAGTTTTCAAAAAGCTGTTGTCAAGCAATTGTTAATTATTTTTTGAGGAAGTCCGGATATTTCGAGTTGTCATTTGGTAGGCTCTGTGGAGGTCGTTCTAATAAGAAAGCATCACGTTCGGAAGCCTTCGATGTTAATCTGTTTGCTTGTTCCCAACGTGATTGGGCTTTCACCATCCTCGTCAAATAGCAGTCAAATTAAATTCGCAACAGAAAAAATAGAAACCTGAAGAAGCCAAGAATGTAAACGGTGTTTAAAACCAAACATCACGACTGCGTGCAAATCAAACGAGGAAAACCTACAATACCATTCGGATTTGTTTAAATTCGTATATAGCGAGTGCAAAGTAAAAATAGGCCAGTTAAAATCGACTGAGGATTGAAGAACACAGCAAAACAACAAAGATCTTGTGGCTGAATTCACTCAGGTAAGATGTAAACCTAAAATTTACACTCCGTGAAATTTTCGTTTTCACAACCAACTACACTGAAAGAAAGTAGTGAAAACTTGTTTCTCGTCCGTGAACGGTCTAACATGAAAGCGCTTTTGGAATAAATATTTGGCCATTTTGCCACTTTTGCGATATTACTTTCATGCAGTAATCGACAGGTGATGAACACAAATCTAAACCGCGAATGGGAAACTATTAATGATTTTAATCAGATAAGAGAGAGCAACTATTTTTCGGAGCACAACAGAGTACTTTGCAATAATTTGAATTAGTATTTCAGAATCTTTTTTTTTCTACACTGAGAAAGAAAACTTGAGTATCTGTCTTACTGAGATCGGTACTTCAAACAGACCGATTGGCAAACACGTGCATATGAGTTTACAAACAACCCCTTCACATTGCCTTCGAAATTTTAAATATGAATCTTTACTTACATCAAATTCCTTCTCTTAACAGAGAGATATGTTGATTGCATATAACATGTCAGTTGATTGCTGATGCGATAAAAAACATCTTCAGATAAAGTTAGTTATATAGTCAACTCATCGCTTGACAAATTGAACTGAAGAGGACACGGATACTTAAACTACAATTTGCTGTGCATTTTAAAAATTAATGATCCGAAACAGACGTATAGAATGTTGGCAATAAATTTCTTAATAAACACACCAAAATCTTAATTTTGAATATAGCAGCATTATACTTATTAAAATAGACACACAAAGTCAGATTCATATCTAAGAAAAAATGCCAGTTTGTCAAGGTGTAAAATTATATGTCTGGAGACTAATAGGTCGAATAGCCGTTGCAAACGCATTTCGCTGTTTATTTCGGTGTCCTTAACTCTTCGCAGCCATACTAGTTGTAGTATTTTTAAATTTAAGTGGTTTGGGGGTTTATGACCATGACACGTGTTAAACATTTCCATCTTGGTTGAGTCAAGTTATACGTCACAAGGTGATACCCGTCGACTACCTGACAACAGGGACCAGCCACGAGTTTCCCAAGAGACATTTCCTATTTCAACGACTGCTTTCCTGTTCATCTCTTTCACACTTAAACGCGAAAAACAGTTCCTACGCTTTTCGTATTCTTAAGGAAAGTTGCTTGGAATAAGATTCATTTTTATTTTACAAAATAGTTAGAGAAGGCCATCTGCTTCATGCAAACTCAGAAGCCAGGCGAATATTAAATTTATAATGTCTTTGACAGAAAAAGTACATGCTTTAACCATCAAATGAGATCTCTTCTTTTACCCTTGCAAATTAAACCAGATTGTTAAGTTGAAATAACATTGATTCACCACGTGCAAACGCATATCAAGGCCGGCGTGTGAATCTAGAACATTTTCAAAACAGACGATGAATAAAAACGGTCCGTTAAAGGCATTGTCAAAATATAAATGTTTGTCATGATTTTGGAGTCTAGTAAACACGTTTTGAATCATATTACAAAGCTTGATTTCGTTTTCAATTTTTTTATATATTTACAGGAATTTAAAATGGCAAGATTGACTGAAAATTTATTATGGAGCCATATGTCATGATAGTAAGAACTGAGTGCGAAAAATAAATAAAAAAGAAAAAAATGCTGTGAAAATCTTTAAATAAGCTACTTCGATAACACTTTGGAAATGAAGCGATAATTTAAAAGCGTCTGGTTTTAATACAGTAAAATTTGTTAGATTTTTTAGTAAGCACAGAACTGTTTCTTTCTATGATGCAGCTTTCATTACGTATTGATGATTTTCATGTTTGATGTAGTGCCGGATGTAAAATCCAAAATTAGTTTCGCAGTCGCATTTCAAAGTGTTTTTCCTGAATAATTCCTGCTGTTCGGTGAGGGGAAAGAGAGTTTGAAAAACAAAACTCTTTATGCCACTGCATCACACAAAGCAAAATTTACAGAAATCAATATTTAATGAATTTTTCTGTTTCAATTTTCTGACACAAAACCAACTGCTATCAGAGAGATTAGAAAGCGCCTGTTCATTTAAATGACTAAAACTCAAGTAAAATTGAACTGCAAAGCCCGTCGAGGGTTTTAGCTTACGGAAGAATTGTTATTTAAATCAGGTATACTTTGCGAATAAGACTAATTACAAAACGACGTTCTGAGGCCTTGTTTCTCGACTGCTGTTGATTATTTGGCTGTTGGCTAAGTTATGTTGAGGTCGCCAAGCCCAGTTTCTTGGTTGCTGGCACAAGATGTTTAGTAACAAAATCAGTACAAAATATTCATCACTGAATTTATGGAAACTGGAGAATAAGTCGTTTAATCCAACTTGTCTGCAGGTGTTCAAGGAATCCACAAGGTAATTTTACCATCTTTATATATGGCCAAACTTCATCAGAACTGACAGCGAATTAAGTGGTGTAAATTGTGATAACTAGAAGAAAAATCTGTTGCAACATATGATATAGTGTTTAGACAACACTTATGAAACAAATCCTATGACAAGAAAGCCTCGCTATACGAACTGTAACAACATAATGTTCATGTCACATTGAGGGCATAAGTAATAAAATCCTAAAACAAAACATTAGATCGATTTTCCTGAATATTTTACTTTATTTTAGATATTGTGCGAAACGATATTTCCAAGTAACTGAGATGTAAGATAGGATATTGCAGTCAGAGTATTTAAGACAGAGTTTAATGCAGCTGTTATCTGAGGTATTTAATATTTTGACTTTCTCAAGCTCGTGCTTGCACCCACACGACATTGTATCAAGTATCACTGTTACCTCCGGACACCGTTTTGGCAGGCACTTCTTACGTACGATATAAGCTTTTCACAGAACCCGCATCACATTTTACTCCTACTTTACAAAACAGGGACCTCCCAACAACATCCAATTATTTACAGAATTAAATTCTGCCCTAGAGTGGCTGTTTAAGACAAGTTCAAACAACGACGATTTTTCGGTGAAGAAAGAACGTTTCCCAGACGCAAAATGTTAGACGTGTTCTTCAAGATGAATCCAATTCCTTTGGAAAAAAATAACAAGACTGAAAAATCTCAGATAGCTGCCTAATACGACGAAACTTAATCCACTCGGCCGGTCGACTTGTCAGAACAAGTAACTCCAAACAACCTCTCCCCAGATAATCAACCAACAATTCGTTTTCATCGGTTGCTAGGTAACCAACAAGAGCAGCAAGAAATCGTTTCACCTCTGTAGCTGAAAATACGGTAATTATGGCAGTAAGTTCGGAAAGGAACAGAGAAAGACAGCTCGATGACAAATTGCTTCCGTTAACTTTCATCTTTAAAATATTCACAATCCGTTAACCCAAAATAAGATACCCCTGGCGAGGGCGAAAAAAGTGTTTTCTTCGCTCTATTACCCTGTTCAGACGCTAAACTTTGGCCAAAAATAGACCCCCGCAATTTAATCCAGTTAATGTAAATGCGATCGTTACCGACATCAAATACTGTAAACATAAAATGAATAAAAGTAGAATAATAAATCCATCCCTTTACCAATAATAGACTGCTAGCAGTCTCTTTCTTTTCCTAGCGTGTGACGCGAAATCAATGCACGAATGCGAAACTGACATAAGCAGAACGACTGAGTGACGAGAAGCGCGAGCGCCTAAAGAAAAAAGGTGTTTTCCTGTCTCGCCTCATTCTCTTCTCATTTCTTTCCCTGACTAGCAAAATTTTCACTTTTCCAACTGCGCGGGGGATTTCAGGAACCAAAACCGAGTGTATTTGTCCACCAAATAAGGAATTGTGCTTTAGCAACCAGGCACAAACTTCTTATGTTCCGCACACTTTCTTTTAACTTAGTTTTGTATGCGGCTCACACTAGTCGTGAAACCTTTTCTGCACAATTTTAACCCACCAATTTACCACGATATTATCGTGAATTTTAAGCTCGCGAAAATGGAAGGTATTAGGATAGCTTGATCAAATGGGAGGAACGTAGATGTTCCTTGAAGTGTAATGTTGTGCCATGTTGTGTTATAATTATAATTAACAATTATTCGCTCTCTATTTCTATTTTAACAGTAGAGTGTTTCTGTCGAGGAACTATCGGCTTATAGTTGCCCCACGGTAATTTGATGATGTTTAATGTAAAACAAAACTTTGCCCGAAAAGCGAAGCGAGATTTCGTTGCATCATAGTTATATGTCAGCTTAGATTTACCTGGTAAATCTTCCTCGAAACATTAGAGCAACTAGGAAATGTGGTCACTATGCCGACGACCTCTAGCCACTGCACTCTAATGGTTGATACTATACGAATAGCTCAGCCAATCAGATTACATCAGTATACTTGTAGAGTCCTACTAATTGTTACTGGTACATTGTATATTAAATAAATACTGAGCACGTCAGATTGAATTCTCACATGAACTGAATTTCGGACCTTAAAGGAAGGCATTGATCATTTTGCCGTAAACAGGCCAGCCAATCGAAACTCTCCAGTTAACTTCAAAACCCCACTTTTACAGGTGTTGGTATAAGGTGTAAGTTACTCACATAATCGGTTTTTACTTTTCTCGTAAACATTAAATGATATGATTTGTTCTTATTGTAGGTTCTATTGCAAACATATCTACTGGGATCAGTAACAACATACCCTGAAGCAGCAAAAAGCTTCAAAGTCCTCCAGTACTAATCAACAGCAGGGAAATAAAGAGCAGGAGAAAACATGTCTGATAACTCCACACAACCTTTCCAAAGACCAGCGGAAAGAAATATACGCGTGGGATTTTACATTGCCACGTTTGTCATCGGCTTGATTGGAAACCTTCTGGTTTTAATTGTCATCGCCGCCAAACGAGCCAAGAAAACAGTAAACGATCTCTTTATCATGAATTTAGCAGTGTCCGACTTAACACTGATCTTTTTTCTTCCACTTCATATCTATGGCATGTTTCACACCATTCCCGTCAATGCATTCTTCTGTCACTTTATTCGTCCACTCATGACCGTCTCGTTCTTTGTCAGCGTCTACACACTGACTTCAATGGCTATCCACCGTTGTCACGTGATCTTAAACCCGTTTAAACAGGAAATACGTCAGAAGTCGGCTGTGCTGTGGATCACACTGCTATGGATTTTGTCGTTCACAAACGTCCTTCCGCTGATGATTGTCACCATACCTGACACAACCCCTGAATGCCTTGAAAACTGGCCGAGTCTTGACCACAGGCGGGCCTATACTGTAGCTCTGTTTATTCTTCAGTACGTGCTTCCTTTGGTCATCATCGCAATAGCATACGTCAAAATCGGTTTAGATCTCAATCGCTCGTGCTCTCGGCGGAGCGTTAGAACTGCTAGAGCCGCTCATAGCCTGGAGAACCAGGCGAGACGGCGCGAAAACTTTAAAGTAACGAAAACTCTGGCTATAATCGTTATGATATTTGCTGTTTGTATGCTTCCTAGCCAGGTGGCATGGATCCTGTTGGACTTTGGCAATGAAAAGCAGCAGAACATGGCCATGATAATTTTTAAGTTTTCTCTTGTTCTCACTGTGTTCCACAGCTGTCTCAATCCCCTCGTTTACGGAAGCATCACCAAACAGTTCCGGCGTGGTTACGTGAAATATCTCTCCTATTTTTGTTGCTGCTACAGGGTATCAATCTTGAAGGAGCTGAAAATTTTACGTCCGTTTGAAAGTTCATCGCAGCAAGGGCATACAGATTCAAAACGAGCTCTCAACGGGAACAAGCACAAAACAAAACTTGAATCAAGGTTAATCTCCAGTGAAATAATCATGGACACAGTAACTGTACTGTAGAGGTAAGAGAAGAGAGTTTTTCTTTCTAGATTAAGACAGAATGAAGAAGAAAGTTGCGAGAATCAATAACTTGCCATCTTGGCCAGCGTCCCATCCCCTCCACCCCTACTGTCCATTTTAACTTGAAAAAAACGCCGATAAACAATGTTATAGAGGCGTACAATATCTAAATATTCTTGTTGATACATGGTATGTCGATGGGGGCAGTTACACTTTTTTACAGTTCATGCTATTTTAAAACGTGTCTCATCCATAAATGTATAGAGTTTAGACCACGCATAGGCTACGTTTTTATTTACGGCAGTCACATTTTTTTAAAAGGAAATGACTGCCATGTTGTCGAGTTAAATATTTATAACATCAAACATTGTAGCACTTGAAAGTAAATGCGATCCCAAAATGCTATTTTGAAACGTTTCGGTATCTCTGGATGCAAAATGCTCTCTTTAGCTTGTTTTTGATAATATATGTAGGTTCTGATCAGTATGTGGTTAATTTAGTTTATCATTAGGTGTCTGGCTTTAAAACGGCATAAAGCGATTCATTCTGACCACTTCTTTCAATTCTGTTTCTCTTTACGGCGACCATTTTTACATTTTACGTAGAGTTGAAAATTCCGTGATGTATCAATCCGATCTCAACATAATAATTGTTTTTCGTCTCTTCATCTGTCTGTTTCACAAAGCACCTCATAAAAAAATTAACACTTATAGGCTTAAGGTATCACAAATTTAGGAAAAGGGAGAGGCGAAATCGTTAAGTAAATTGATGTGAATTACAAGGGAGTTTCCTGATGAAGGAAACTGAGAAAAACTAAGAACTTTTTGTTATGTTAAGAGAAGACAGAAGCAAAATTAAGAACAAAGCAAACCGTAACAGATTCAGTTGTTTTGTAAATGGATTACAAACTCTACAAAACAAAGAGGAACTGGAAACTGAAATGTCGTAAAACATGTACCAAGTATTTTAAAGGTTTCGGCTTTAAAAGATTCCTTATAATAAAGATCAGATTCTCTATGTCAAAGATTTCACATTTCAGATATTCCCCATATTCAAAGTTGCCCCATTCCATGTTTCCTCTTTGGATTATACTCAACTTCGGTCCAAGCACTAATAAAAAATAAAGTTTTTATTGTCGGTTTGAGGCGCAAATTGTAACTGCACCGGACCGTACCGTTCTTCCTCCTTGTACAGCCATGACAGCGGTTGAAGCGTGACCTGGGTTCAACGCGATGTAGGGCGGAGAAAGGGAAAGTTCAGAGACTGGATTAAATGATAGTTTACAAAACCCATGGTAAAACATTCAACACGTTTTCTTCAGATTTGAAAGTTGACTGTTGCCCACGACTAACGGCGTGAATCCTACAAACTCGTTGGCATGTGCAACAATTATAAAAATTAAGACTTGTCACCGAAACAATTTCTCATCTTAATGACTACAATCACACGCATGCTAAACAAATCATGTAGATTAAGGCCTACAATGCTGCTGAATGTACTATACTGACGTTGGCTGGCTGGCTGGGTGGGACTCTCGCCGCTTTCAGCAAGAACTATCTCGCCTTATTCAACAAGATTTGCAAATCATTTTATCGTAAAAAAGCTAATTAACACATCATCGTGGTTTTGCTAGCCTGCGTAGAAGGCTTGGTTTGAAAAATGATTGAAGGAGACCACTCCAGGCCCTTCGGTTTTTGTCCCTTCTTAGATGTAGTTTAGCCCGAACCTATTCGCATGCGCACAAACTGGCAGCTGTTTCGTCCTAGTTATGCTTCACTAGTAAGTCTCAAAATAAATCGTCGAACAACCCGCGGTTAAATGTAATCATTGCTTTGTGATCGTTCTTTTGTTGCATCTGCACGTTTGTCAGACGAAATTTAACTTTTGATGAATTTATGCTGGTGAAAGTTCAAAAAACACCGATGTAAAGAAAGACCACCCAATGGAAAGCGATCTGCCGACTCCGCCAGGTGCCTACGCAGCGGTTGATAGGTGCACTAAAAGTCCTTCAGAAGTGAAATATTTCAGTGAATTTTGTACTCCGTTATCACAAGCATTATCTTAATCACACGCAGGAAGCGGGGAGGTCTTGACGACCGCGTCGACGAGATATCACTGCATTTGTGAAGAAAATGGAAAAGATGAGTGGAATTCGAAACTTAGTGGCCTCTCGAGATCTATTACAAACCAAATATGGCGACCACCTGGCACATGGATGTCGAACAGTGTCATAAAGAAATGACAAAAAGGTTGACAGGTTAAGAATTTAGTAGAATTCAAAAAGTAGTGAAAGGAAATTTTAACATTGGTGAACATTTACCATCATGTCATGTCTGCAATTTCATTTCAATCTAACCACCCTGGCGTATTTGTTCCTTCTATAATATTATCTCTGTTTCAAGTAAATATTCACAAGGTACCAGTTTCTGTTGGTTGCAAAATCCACCGTCAAGCAAATAAAGAGAAAGCCCATAGCTGTGTTATGATGTTCATAAATAATAAAAGGAAGTAAAAAATGTACAGACAGGTGTATGCACGCATGGATTATTTAATTTCCTAGGCTATACACATGCAACTTAACTTCTTACAATAGCATATTCGCTGAAAAAATTAGGCATGCAGTTGGGGATAGTTTGGGAAAACGTAATATACGCCACAACCGGACGAGTTGTCTCGGCAGAAACTGAACTCTCTTTGCTGTATCTTTTTCCTTGTCCCTTGATGGCTTTAACGGATGACATCGAGAGCTACAACTAAGTAAGTCAGACCTAAAGCAGAAATCGTTAATAAACGAGATTTAGCGCAGTTCGTCAAGGTTCTTCAAGTCATTTCACCGCATTGGCAGATGATTGATGGTAATTCACAGTTCATTCTACATTCATTCAACTGAACTGAATCCTGAATCCAGCAAAACAGTCGAACCGTTGGGAAGGTAAGGGATTTGTAGCGGCTACATTCAGTGGAAATAATTCTCCAGTTTTCTGATTTTCGCTCCACAGCTATTTTACAGATCAGTTGAGAAACACAAATGTTATATTTGATTACTTCACTCCCTATGGATTCTGTTTATTAGCAGCTTTATGATAAGCGTTCATGCAAGTACGGGCGCCGTAAAAACTTGTGTATCTATTGTCAAGATATAAAAAAAACTGGTATACGTAAGTTGGTTTATTAAACCATTCAAAGCATTTCAGAAGCTGGGAGAAAAGAAAGAGAGTAGCGTACAATTGATTATGACATTGTGTACCCAACAATTTCTAAAAGGAAATGATATGAGGACTGACTGAAACTAGTTATTTGAAATTATAGTTAAATAAAGCACTTAAAAAGTCTGCCATTCAGAACACTGTATTAAAAACTGTTCGCTCCCTATCCTCGCCATGCAAAGTTAGCATACCAGTTTTAAATTGAATGAAGCCTGCAAAACTGGTTTACCAGTAACGTAAATAGCCTTTCTCTACTAACGATTTAAAACATGATTGGCCCATTACACAGTGGTCATTGAAAAAAGGGATGTATCCGCTGTACAGGTGTTTCATGATCAAAACCGAAAAAAAAACTACGATCATTGCTGGCAACAGAATGAAACCAAAATATTGCGTGACGATGTTATAATTAGATTGGTTCTTGCTATAAAATGAGCCAGAAATATTTTCTAGAATCAACACCAATCTGCCGTTTACCGTTAGCTACTATGACAGACTGCATGATGTTTAGCTATCTTGCTGTGAACAGTTCCATGTAGTTGTAATAAACAAAGCCACTGATCTACTGTTAAAATCAAACCTTGATAAAGGTAGGCTTTATATCACATTTCCTAAAGTGAAACAAATTCTAATTTTTTTTTTTCGCTGTACATCGTAACCAAAGAAGGTTGCTGGGTTAACCTTATCATAACTGTTAAGAGTCCACTGAGTGCAGCTACCTCCAGGGTCTTTCCATTCACACACACACACACACACAAAAATAATAACTTTTGCACGCCTTGCGTGCCTATGTTTAGTATAGATGTTATGGATTTTCTCAGCATGTTGTTTGACGCATAGTTTCATTTTATTTTTATGTTAAGCATGTTTGCAAATGGCGGTCCTTTATATCTAAATTGCTTGTAATGTTTAAAGGTGTCGACAACGGGTCACACCCACTTGGGCCTGACCCTCGCCGTTGCTTTAAAGTGCCACTGAAACGAAATTTTCGTACCCTCTTTTTTTAGCCCAATTCATAGTTTCAAACGTGCTTAAAATAATGGTGAACTTTATTTCTGTCAAATC